ATAGGCTCCACCTAAACCAAAATGGAACCAGATTGCTGGCACTTAAAATTAAAAAGGTCATAGAGCAGTTTTTAAACTAAGGATTGGGGGAAAGCTGACAGGTGCAGAGGAGCACGTGGTTCAGAAATCCCTTAGGGGAGGATCTATGCATGGAGATTCTCTATGTCCTAATAAGGAGGAGATGATGGAAGATGATAAAATACAGGTAGGATCTAAGGAGAAACAGTCACATGAAAAAAAGGCCCATTCAATTACATCATGTAATGGCAGGCAGCTAAACAGTGACAAGTTTTTAAAGTGCTTATATACCAGTGCTAGAAGTCTCAATAATAAGATGGGTGAACTAGAGTGCCTCGTATTAAATGAGGATATTGATATAATAGGCATCACAGAAACTTGGTGGAATGAAGATAATCAATGGGACACAGTAATACCAGGGTACAAAATATATTGGAAGGACAGAACAGGTCGTGCCAGTGGGGGAGTGGCACTATATGTGAAAGCATAGAATCAAATGAAGTAAAAATCTTAAATGAACCAAACAATACCATAGAATCTCTATGGATAGTAATTCCATGCTTGAATAATAAGAATATAACAGTAGGGATATATTACAGACCAGGATGGTGATAGTGACTGAAATGCTCAGGGAGATGAGAGAGGCTATTAAAATAAAAAACTCAATAATAATGGGGGATTTCAATTATCCCCATATTGACTCGGTACATATCACCTTATGAAAGGATGCAGAGATAAAGTTTCTTGACACCTTAAATGACTGCTTCTTGGAACAGCTAGTCCTGGAACCCAGAAGAGGAGAGGCAATTCTTGATTTAGTCCTAAGTGGAGCATAGGATCAGGTCCAAGAGGTGAAGATAGTTGGACCGCTTAGTAATAGTGACCATAATATAATTAAATTTAACATCCCTGTGGCGGGGAAAACCCCACAGCGGCCTAACACTGTAGCATTTAATTTCAGAAAGGGGAACCACAGAAAAATGAGGAGCAGGGCCAGCTCTAGGTTTTTTGCCACCCCCAGCAAAAAAATTTGTGGCTCCCCCCACCCCAGCCCTGGTCTCTCCCCCCCACACACACCAGTACCCTCCCCCACCCGCACCCCCTGCCACCCCAGCCCTGGGCTCCTCCCCGAACATGTGACCTCCTCATTCACCACAGCAAGCCCCGTTTACACTTGCAGTGGGGATCAAACTGTTTCTCCTATTTTTATTTCACTTTAGTATAAATCCCCGTCACCCCATCTTTAGTGCTCCAAATGCACATGGAAGGCATAGGGACTAACCCTCAAACCTTGTACCTGGAAAGAGATGGGGATCTAGTAAAGAGGGTTCAAGCAGAGGAGCGGGTGTGGGCGTCCTTGGGGGCTCTACACTGGCAGAGAAGCAGGGTGTGATGTACTCGCGGAGGAGGGTGGAGGAGGAGAGGGGGTATCAGGAGGGTTGCAGGAGAAGAGGGAGGTGCAGGAGGAGAGGGCTGGGGGAGGGTACAAGGGGAGAGGTGCAGGTGAAGGAAGAGTACAAGGGGAAGGGGTGCGGCAAAGGAGTGATGGGGGGAGGTTCAAGTAAAGAGGCTGCGAGTGGCAGGCACTGACAGCTGCTTCCCCAGCCCCGTGCAGGCAGAGCCAAGAGGACGGACACTGACCCCCAGGTGCCCGAGCCACGGGGGTCCCCTGGTGGGGCAGTATCCCCCGCTGCCCCGCTCGGAGCCGGGCTCTGCCTCTCCCCGCCCCTGGCGCTGTGGGGGCCCGGGTCAAGCAGCGCAGGACTGAGGTGGGGGAGGTGCGCAGCGGGCTGGGTCCGGGGGCAGCTCGGGCTGCCCAGCCACTTGCCCCATCAGCGCGCGAGCCGGGATCCGCGCCCCGTGCCCAGCCCAGCGGTGCCCTGCCCAGCCCACTCGGGCGGGGAAACGCCATGCCGTCCTGGGGAGACTCAGAGCAGCAGCGGTGGCGGCAGCAGGACCCCTCCTCCCTCCCTGCATCCCGGGCCCCACTTCCCTCCCTCCCCAGCTCCTCACACACTCCGGGAGCCCCTCTCGCCGCCACAGCCCGGGCCTGGCTCCAGGGGATGATGCTCTGGCTCCTCAGCGGCAAAAAAAAAAAAAGAAGGGGGGCTGGAGTGCCGCCCCTTGGAAAGTGCCACCCCAAGCACATGCTTGGAGCGTTGGTGCCTAGAGCTGGCCCTGATGAGGAGGTTAGTTAAACAGAAATTAAAAGGTACAGCGCCAAAAGTAAAATCCCTGCAAGCTACATGCAAACTTTTTAAAGACACCATAATAGAGGCTCAACTTAAATGTATACCCCAAACTAAAAAACCTTGTAAGAGAACCAAAAAAGAGCCACTGTAGCTAAACAATAAAGTAAAAGAAGCAGTGAGAGGCAAAAAGTGGAAGTTAAATCCTAGTGAGGAAAATAGAAAGGAGCATAAACTCTAGCAAATGAAATGTCAAAATATAATTAGGAAGGCCAAAAAAGAATTTGAAGAACAGCTAGCCAAAGACTCAAAAAGTAATAGCAAAGTAATTTTTTAAGTACATCAGAAGCAGGAAGCCTGCTAAACAACCAGTGGGGCCACTGAACTATCGAGATGATAAAGGAGCACTCAAGGAGGATAAGGCCATTGTGGAGAAACTAAATGAATTCTTTGCATCGGTCTTCACGGCTGAGGATGTGATGGAGATTCCCAAACCTGAACCATTCTTTTTAGGTGACAAATCTGAGGAACTGTCCCAGATTGAGCTGTCATTAGAGGAGGTTTTGGAACAAATTGATAAACTAAACAGTAATAAGTTACCAGGACCAGATGGTATTCACCCAAGAATTCTGAAAGAAGTCAAATGTGAAATTGCACGACTACTAACTGTCGTCTGTACCAAAGGACTGGAGGATAGCTAACGTGACGCCAATTTTTAAAAAGGGCTCCAGAGGTGATCCCAGCAATTACAGGCCAGTAAGCCTGACTTCACTACTGGGCAAACTGGTTGAAACTATAGTAAAGAACAAAATTGTCAGACACATATATGAACATAATTTGTTGAGGAATAGTCAACATGTTTTTTGTAAAGGGAAATCATGTCTCACCAATCTAATAGAATTATTTGAGGGGGTCAACAAGCATGTGGACAAGGGGGATCCAGTGGATATAGTGTATTTAGATTTTCAGAAAACCTTTGACAAAGTCCCTCACCAAAGGCTCTTAAGCAAAGTAAGCTGTCATGGGATAAGAGGGGAGGTTCTCTCATGGATTGATAAGGTTAAAAGATAGGAAACAATGGGTAGGAATAAATGGTCAGTTTTCAGAATGAAGAGCGGTAAATAGTGGTGTACCCCAGGGGTCAATACGGGCCCAGTCCTATTTAACATATTATTAAATGATCTGGAAAAAGGGGTAAACAGTGAGGTGGCAAAATTTGCAGATTATACAAAACTACTCAGGATAGTTAAGTCCCAGGCAGACTGTGGAGAGCTACAAAAGGATCTCTCAAAACTGGGTGACTGGGCAACAAAATGGCAGATGAAATTCAATGTTGATAAATGAGAAGTAATGCACATTGGAAAACATAATTCCAACTATACATATAGAATGATGTGATCTAAATTAGCTGTTACCACTCAAGAAAGAGATCTTGGAATCATTGTGTATAGTTCTCTGAAAACATCCACTCAATGTGCAGTGGCAGTCAAAAAAGCTAACAGAATGTTGGGAATCATTAAGAAAGGGATAGATAATAAAAGACAGAAATTATCATAGTGCCTCTGTATAAATACGCCCACATCTTGAATACTGCATGCAGATGTAGTTACCCCACCTCAAAAAAGATGTATTGGAATTGGAAAAGGTTCAGAAAAGGGCAACAAAAATTATTAGGGGTATGGAACGGCCTCCGTATGAGGAAAGATTAATAAGATTGGGACTTTTCAGGTTGCAAAAGAGACAACTAAGATATGATAGAGGTCTATAAAATCATGACTGGTGTGGAGAAAGTAAATAAGGAAGTGTTCTTTACTCCTTTTCATAACACAAGAACTAGGGGCCACCAAATTAAATTAATAGGCAGCAGGTTAAAAACTAACAAAAGGAAGTATTTTTTCACACAACACACAGTCAGCCTGTGGAACTCCTTGCCAGAGGATGTTGTGAAGGCCAAGACTATAACAGAGTTCAAAAAGAACTAGATAAATTCATGGAGGATAGGTCCATCAATGGCTATTAGCCGGGATGGGCAGGGATGGTGTCCCTAGCCTCTGTTTGCCAGAAGCTGGGAATGGGCGACAGGTAATGGATCACTTGATGGTTACCTGTTCTGTTCATTCCCTCTGGAGCACCTGGCATTGGCCACTGTCGAAAGACAGGATACTGGGCTAAATGGACCTTTGGTCTGACCCAGTATGGCCGTTTTTATGTTCTAAGAGATCCATCTGCCCACTTTTGAAACTTCCACCACTCATGTCTAGTAGTCTTTGACAATTTTCTTTTGGACTTCATGCTCTTCAAGAGGAGCAATCAATCACCAGTTTATATATGCATTACTAAATATTACTAAAACTTGCCTGGTGAAATCAACCAGTATCCAGAAAAATAGGGTGCCTTCAGATTAGTCAGAGATTTTTCAAATGCATCAACAGGAGTTACGTGTCTATCTGTCTTCTATGCCTTTGAAAGCTTCCCCCCTCCAAAACTATTGCAGTCATATTTTCTTCTCTCCCCTCCAATCTAGGCAAAGATTTTGAGAAATATTGGGGTTCCAAAACCAAGTGAATTATACTCTCTTCTACTTATACATCCTCTGAGATAAATAGCAGACTTTATGATTAGTGATAAATTACAAAGATCAATAGTTTAAAGTCTCAAGGTACATGGAGAGTACGTGTAGAAAATAGGAAAAGGCGAATCATTTAATAAAAAAAAACAAAAACACCTTTCACAAATACAAATAAAATTTTTTTTCTTTCCTCCCGGAAAAAAAAAAAAAAGTTTACACTCAGTATGTCAAACACAAAATAAAAAAAGTTGGACACTAACTCAAGTTTTATTTATATATTCTACTTTCCTCTAGACCAGTCCAGACTATCATCAGGGAGAAAGGCAGAAAACCTTGAGACCATATGTCATCCAGCACTTCTGGTCTTATTCCATTTTTTTTTAATAAAATATTAAAAAGCTATTACACAGCATATTTCAAGCAAAAATTACTGAACATAATTCTAAAAAAAAACAAAAAACAAACAAAAAAAACCCCACAACCACCACTCAATATAGTTTTTAAAAAACATAGGGCTGAATGGCACTTTCATTTTAGCATTTATGATGCAGAAAGCACATTTTGGAATATAGTGCACCCTCACTGCAATTTTCATTGCTGTAAGGCTAACGTGGATATAAGGCAATGTAACCTTAGCTTCCACCTACGTCCCTCATAAAACACCATTAGCACATGCATCTCTTTAGTACATATTCCAAGATGCACTGCTTCCCTTCAACTTAATTTACCTACTCCCTCCTATTTAAAAAAGTAACTTAAGGAGATAATGTGCTATATTTTTCACACACTACAAGATACTAAAATATTAAAAAGAAACAGCAATGAATAAAAATATTCACATATCTGAAAACTGACTTCCATCTCTTAAATAACTTATCTGAAGTTACAAAATACACATACAAATATCTTTCTATGAAATAGCTATGCATGATATCAGAGATTGTTTTGCCTTTGATAATCTAACTGATCTATTTCTGGAGCAAAGATATCTGGACAGTGTTGCTACCCAAGATTTTCATTACAATTGATTTTTTTTTAATATACAATCAATTCTCTCTAGCTATTCTAGCAGGTAGTGCAAATAAAGACATTCTTTGGGTTGCAATTTTTAAAACATCTCAATGTTATCTTCAACATATCACTAGCAAATTAATAAGTAACAAAATACTGTAAATAATATACATCTTCTAACATTACATTATCCTTAGTTACCTGTTTAAAACAGATCACACAAAAAATGATTAAGCTATATAATCAATCTATCCAAAAAGATATGTTAAATTTTTATTTAAATAAATATATTTTAGAAGTGAATATATATTTTTCCATTTTAGTTTAACTTCAAACATTACAAAGTATCACCCATTTGGCATACTACATCAACCAAGTTACCAGAATATCTTTAAATACAATATTGTACAGCACTGCTTTAACAGAACTGTCTGAAAGCAACAAATTAATCCTTTGAGAACCTTATGTACAGAAGTTGGGACTGCATGTACCCAGCACATTCTATAGCAGAACAGTGTACGATATGTTAGTGTCAACTATTGCTTTGCCTAGCCAGAGGTAAAAAGCTTTTCTTGAATCAAATCGAATCTATGATAAAGTAACATAAGGTGATCTTGTATGTTATCTAATATTGCTTGCTGCATTTACACGTTTACTTGTAGTTACTGGCACCAGATTACCACTGGTTCCATTGGTGGTATTTGTTGCTGAGCCATTCACAACAATGTAGTCAACTTTGTTTTCCAATTTCACCAGACGTTGTAAGATGTCATCCAGAAGAACAGCAATTGTTCTTTTGAGATCAGCTGAAGAAGACAAAACAAAGAAAGTAGTATTGAATACTGTTCATTTATATTATCAGCAGTGTGAGAGAAATTTGTGGATTTGGACATCTAATTTATGTCTTCAAAGGTTGCTTTTCTTTTTTCCTGGATTTGTTTGGAGAGGACAGAGAAAAGGTAGAGTCTTCTACATATGGATGCTAGATGTCCATATATTTAAAGTACTATTTCTTATTTTTTGCATACTAGAAGATACTACCACAATAGCAAACTGAGAATTGGCCCATTGAATCACAGAATATAAAATAACATTAGTCTCCTCTTTTTCCCCCATTTTATTTTTTAAAAGATAAGTGACTATTTAAGGGTAATAGTTTGGACTTTAACCCACAACAGCAGTAGAGAGGAAATAAATTTAACCTGTATAACAGCTTCTGGCACTGGGCAGCATTAGAAAGCACTTATGTTTTTCCACCCTAGATAAGATAGATCTTAATTATTTCCTTCTACAGTTCCTTTCCAATTATTCTACAAGTTCAGAACTTGCTGTCTGCCACAAGGACAAGGTAAAGCATTATTGTAATACACACTGTAATTCTTAAAGCAGAAAAAAGGGATACAGTTTCTTTCCTATGTTAAAATTCTTGGATGTAAAGATTTAGACTTAAGTTGATGTAAAAAAAATTCATAAGGAGCCTATCTATATATCGAGAAAAAGAAGCAGGGTGGAAGAAGACCCTACTGATATTATAAAAACAGTTAATCAAGGTGTGGGAAGGAAGAACACCAATAGGCAAGACTACTAAACAAACAATGCAGTAATCAACATTAATTCAACAAAACCTCAACACTTTGCTGTATGTATTCTTTCCGAATTAATTAGTTCATTTCCTCACAATTTGAGAGCCATCTGGCCTGACCAAATTACTTGACACTTAGTTTTTCAAAATTCGTCATTATTTGGATTTATCTTATTCTTTCAAACCAAACCTTTGATGGTGAGTCTGCATCAGTGAACAAACTAATGAATTTTATTGTTCTAAATATGTTTCAAATAAGTTCCTTTGCACAGAACCAAGGTATATAGATCCAGTTATAGATGTACTTCCCCCCCCTTTAAGGGCCTTGTTGAGTTAAAGATTTTGACACCCTAAAATATTGGACCTGACCTACACACTGAAAGAGAGGTTTACCCTCAACTAGAATTCCTTCTAAGAAGGGGCAGTAAGTATAGTAATGAGTCTCCCTGTATGTAAAATCTTAATTCAGCTCTTTCTCTGAAAACTAATTCCCGTTTAAGTCTATATTACCTATGTTATCACAGAAGTTTTTGTTTTGCATGACAGAATACAGGCAGGCAATGAGTTTATTTTATCTAGTTCTCAGAAATTTAAGTCTGAATGAAACACTGGAGAATAGTGTAGGACGTTTAAGTAGATTGTATTTGTCAAATGGCAGGTTAGGACACCTAGACAAATCATAAGACTGGGGTTGCAGAGTTTAAAGTATTATGTCTTTGAAGTGAGAAATTTTCAATGTTTACATTAAACAGATCTCAATAACTAAACCACACACAGATCTCTCTTGCATTCTAGATGAGCATGGGCTATAGACATATAGCAGGTGCACAAGTAACAGGGCACAGTGGTGTCAAGTCAGAGCGGAATATGGTGATGCAAACACAATGGAGGCTCGAGATTTGGAGCACTCTACTGCCTTCTGCTAAATACATAATCATGCCCCCACCTCTCCAATTTTACCATCACGATTGCTTCTCATTGTTTATTAATAGTGGAAGAGAAGAAAATTAAAGGGAAAAAAAAAAGATATAAAAGCAATAAAAAGGTAGAAATAACACACAAAGTGACAGTGTTTGGGTAGTGAACTGTTTTAATTTTACATTTAATTCCTACATTATGAATGTACTCCTTCATGTTACTGTGGAGAAAACCCCCCAGAGCTCTATTTGCAATTGGTGGAGAAACAAGGCAACCTAATATTGATGCTGACAGTCAAATTACTATAATACATACAACTATGTTTAAAGAACAAGTGTTAGAAGTTATGCCTTAAAATTAAGCCCCATCAATGAGCAAACACACAGTCAGCACATTAAAAAAATATTTTGAAGAGTTCCATGTACCATTTAAAATAAGATTTAAAAGTTGTACCAAAGGCAGTTTAGAACAAAAAGGTTTGTGTAGCCAGGTTTATTTAATCTTACCATATCCTGCCATTGAGGCTCCATTACCACCGTTCATTATGTTCTTATTTTCTTCTGCCAGGGCTTTCACATATCTTTTACTTAAGTCTAGTATCTGTTCACGCAATTCAGCACTGCTTTGGTGCCTTGGATGCTGAAAAGTATAGCGCAGCAACATCAAGCCCCAAATAAATCCAAACACCAGCAACAACAAACTCAGTTTCTGGGACATGTTTTTTCTTGAAAATGTTAAAAACATTTCTGATGAAGGCAACAGATGAGTGTCGATTTCAAGAAAAATAATTCAATTTGAAGTTGTCATGGTATTTACATATTAGTCAAAAGCAAGATCTTCACAAAGTAACAAATCTTCTGGATGGACCATCTTAAACACATTTTCTCCATGTCACTTGATGCCTAAATTTGAAGTATTACAAGATTAGTCAAAATGCTCATTCACCAGGAAAAGGAACAAAAAACAGTTTTCAAGGTCAGTAATATTAGATATTCTAGAAATTCTTTGCGGAAACATACCCGTTCACCTCACCTACTTCTACAGCTTTGTCTTTCAGCTTTTTTGCTAAAAGTCAAAGCTTCAATACCACCATCATTGCTTCAGTTTTAAATTACCATAATTGTAATTAACTTTTTTAAGTGCATTTAGGTTCAATCTCAAGAAGCAAGTGTCATCTAATAGAAACCTGTAAAAAACTCTTCCCTCTAGAAACTATTCAGTTTGTAAGCAATATTTTTTGGGCTGTTGTTTATAATGCCATATTTTGACAAAAAAAGTCCTTGCAAATTCATCTGCAGCTGTTGCTTATTCCCCACTGAAAGTCATAAGGCTATGGTGAAACTCAAACATGAAATTTATTTAGACTAAGTTTCTTGGGCAAGGGCCTCATTTGCTTTTGTACAGCATCAAACACATTGTCAGTGTCTTAATAAAAAATAATGAAGTTACACCTCCTTATAGCACTTTGGCTAATAATTATCCATTAGTTATATAATACTTACCGTAGCAACCAATTTTGATGCCACTACAGATTAGGACTTCAGGTGGGAAGTGATCAGCAGGAACATATCAGTACTTATAAACCAAATATCCAGCTTCTGAGGGTATGGAGTAGTACCAGCCATGTATCTTCAAAGAGAGCTCTGCATGTCAAGCAAAGTTTATTCAAATAAAGTTGTGCATATTATGTTAAGAACAACATTTTCAAGGAGGAGCCTCAAGTTGAGCAGTGCCTAATTGTAAGCAACTATGTCTGAAAACTCAAAATTACTAAAATAACGATTGGAACCGGATACCGTGGCTTAGCATACATACAAACACAAATTTCACATACATGAAGTCACTTCTTCTGTTTGAAAGGCAGGCAAAGATTTCTTCTTTTAAGCAGCTACTTTGCCTCTTAAAATCCTTGTTTACAATCTTACTAAGTATTTGGCCTCTACAGTATCCTCTGGCAATGACTTCCACGGCTCAATAATGTGTGAAAAAAATATTTCCTTCTATAAATTTTGCATCTTCCATCTTTTCATTTCATTAAAACATCCCCTTGTTGTGTGTCATGACAGGGAGAACAGAAACTCTGGATCTACCTTTGACATATTTTTATCATATCCCCTCTTACTTGTCTCCTGTCTAAAGTAAACAAACCCAACCTTTTTAGTCTCTCTTTAAATGAGTTTTTCCTCATGCCTCTAATCATGTGTTATCCTTCTCTGGACCTGTTCCAATTCTGCAATATCCCATTTGAGATTAGGTAACCAGTATTGCACATAATATTCTAGGTGAGGCTTCAGCATTGTATTTTCCTATAATAGCATTGGATAATATTTTGTATAATGGCATCGTATTTTCCATATTATTCTCCATCCTGTTCCTTAGGCATCCTAACATCTTAGCTTTCTGGACCAAAGCTGCACATTGAGTCAAGGTCTTCATTGGGCTGCCCAGAGCAATGTCCAGGTACCTTTCTTGAGTTAACAAAGTTAATTTAGAATCCTCTAAAGTGTACAAGTAGTTAAAATTTCTCTTTCCAATGTGTTTTACTTCTGACACAGCATACTGACACAATAGAAGATTTTTTTTTATTATTATTATTATTTAAATCACACAGTAGGCATTAAAGACAGTGCTTTCGGTTCCTCTGGGATTATCCTTGCTAGCTTGACTAGGTGAACTAGTCAATTTATCTTAGTAAAGCCAGGATCACCAAACGTAAAGTAGCTAAATATGGGGACCATAGTGGTTTGAGTGACAAAGTATTTTGTTGTTCGTAACACATGCAAGGCTCAGGAATATAATCAAGATAAAGCCCGCCCTCTTCCCCCCAACCATAAGGGCAAAACAGATTGTTTCAATGGCAAAACATTTGAAAACTTAAATAGATGATTTGGCACTATTTTAGACTTAAGTTAATAACCACATCTTACATTTACAAAGCAGTATTAATCTCAAAAGATCCCAAAGTCCTTCATAAATATTATGTATGAGAATCACTTCCTCTACACTTGGATGGAATATAGCAGCTGTTTAACAGTGAACAGTCCTAAGCACTGTTAGATTTCACCCACATCTGAACAGCGTTGTCCATGCTAATTTACACAATGCTGAACATATTTTAGCAGTCAGTTTAGACCAAGGTTAATTTTGTTCAGCATCACCAGCTAACTATTAAACCCCAAGAAGCCCTGATAAATTCTATTGTAAACCCTTTGCTGACTATCTCCAGCACCCATTAGTCTTCAGATATTGTAGACCAGACCTATAGCAATTACAGTAGACAACATACAATGACTCAAGTTATAACTTAGACAGGATACAAGGATTAACACCCCTAAATCTTGTGAAAAGTGTTATGGGATTTTTAATATAAGTGATCATGACCTCAGTATCTCTCTTCAGTGAAATATGTCACTTCTAGTAGCAGAGTGACCTTCAATACCTTACTGAATCATTTGATCAGAATTGGCTCAGAAGGAAGACCACAGTCTCCCATTGAATCACCAACCAGCTAGAAGATAGGATGAGTTTTCTTTGAGGAAAGGGAACACAAGGGCACAACAATAAGAGTGCAGTTTAAATGCACTTATCTATTAAGGTTTTGGGGAATATCCCTATTTACTAGACCACAGAACTCAAAAAACATTGCATAATTCTCAGGAGATGTAAAATAACTGAAAATAAATTAACAAAAAATTAGACATGAATACACAATGCAAGAAATAAGAAGGCACGAGGCCAATGGGCTGTGTACATAGGGGAATCACATCCTAAGGGTCAAAATGGGACAAGAGTAGTGGTAATTTTCCATGTCCTACCTACAAACCAAAACCCACACGCTCATGGCACCAAGATGAGATACCAGTTTACGTACCATAAAGACAGACAGACGACAGTGTGGTATAGTAGGCTGTGGAATAGCATACTAAGCAGTAACAGAAGACTCATTGCTTTGATTTTCTGGTAAGTGATATTCTTGGACCCTATGAAAGTTAGATTGGGTCCTTACAGTACAGCAAACACATTAGTTTTTCAGAGTCATAGCAGCCATAGTACAGTTCTCAACGTTTAGGAATTATATGGGGTAAAAATTGTGATTCTATAGCAAATGCAGAAGGAAACAACACAAAAATATTTTTAAGGAAGCACCAATCTATGCGCCCTGAGTAAATTTTAGATTTGGGTAGTAAGAGAAGACTTAACTATTTGATGCATCATTCCCTCAATACATCCCTTGTTCTCCCCAAAACAATTCAATATAAACAATAGTTTATATAACTTATTGTTATATTTGGACTTAGCCACAGAAGAGTGATAGCACTTCCTTACCTCACAGAGATGTTGTGAGGATAAATACATTTAAAGATTGTGATATTCTCAGATACTATGATAACAAGGGCTCTATGTATACCTAAAATTGATAATCATCAGATCTTGTGGCCCCTAAGAGGACAATTTAGGAAACTATACATTATTAACAGTGCACAACGCATAGTAAAACCCCAACTCACACCCGGACAACTCAGGGTCAATGCAGCACAGATGTGCAACGAGGTGATCCATGCTAGAATAAGGCTGAGTCACGGCAGCTAGCTCCCATGGAACACTGCACAGAGGCCCTGGTAAGAGAGGTTTGCAACAACCTTACAACCCTTACAAGCACACAGGGAACATTACATTGGTATTAACAACAGGGATTTGAGAGGGGGGAAAGGGATTGCTCCTGCTATCAGAATCCATGTGCTCATACAGTCCAGTACCAGGAACTGCTGCAGCAGGACAAATCAGAACAAAAGCAGATCACTGCATGTACAGATAGGCTGGGCAGGAACAGGGAGGGGAGGAAGGAGAAGAGAAAAGAGCATGACCTGGACCAGGGAGACATCTATAGAGAAGAATCAAAATAAGATGCTGCTAATGAGGTAATAATCTCACTTTACTCAACAACTACGACCACCCCAACACCTAGTATAACAAACCCCATCTCAAACTCACACTTATATCTGTCCCAGTTCACAGAACTCACGCAATGACCAAATCCCTAGCTCAGACCTACCTGCAATTCCCTAAGCCCCCGTACCGCATCATAGCCCCGATTCCCAGCACAGCGCAGTCCTGCTCTCACCTCTCGATCCTGTCCCGCTCTAGCAGTCGCAGACACCCCGGGGAACGGGGCCGGCCCTGCTACGCCCCATCCCTGCCCCCTCTCAAACACCCCCCTGGGGAACGGGGCCGGCCCTCTCCCCCCACGCCCCGGGCCACGAAGCCGCCCTTCACCCCTCACGCCCCCCGGGGCCGCCCCTACCAACAAAGGCTCGGGCTCCCCCGGCGGCGGCGCTCTCGTCTCTTCCCTACCTGGCTGACAGGCACAACACCGGCTCCCCAACCCGCTTCCGCTCATCCCACAGCCCCGCCCCCCGAGCCCTTCCGCCCCAACGAATGCCGGGAAACGAATCCCGCGGCCTTCGCCAAGCCAAGCGCATGCGCGGTGCCGGTTCTCTTCTGCGCGCGAGCCAGAGTAGGGCGCGGGCTAAAGAAGCCCCCGTGTTTCGCTGCAGGGCGCGCGCGTGGGTTGGTTCCCGGATCGCTACTATCATCGCCTAGTAATAAGTCCTGCCGCAGCACAGGAGCCGCCTCCGCAGCGTTTGCTGGGTCTGCGTGCGCTTCTGCCATCTGTGGTTGTGTGTGTGCACGGGCCAGGCTGCGTTTGTTCTGTGCCGCTCAGGCGGGGCCAAGCAGCCAGCCCGGCTCGGCCGGGTGTCTAGGTAGCAGCCTCGCGCAGCGTGGCGTCTTAGCTTTCACATTGAAAACAACGTGTCTGACCTTCAGGGGCGTGACAAGCACTTTCCACTGATTCCTGAGCGGGGGCTAACCTGAAACATTAGCTCAGCAGAGTTAAACTCCCCCATGCCCTGTTGGTCTCAGGCAATGTGTACCCAACAAACTGGTCCACGTACGTTACCACCTAAGTTGTATAGCCCTTGGGTGTGTGCTTCCGTGGCTCTGATGTTGGTGCTGGGCGAACTTAGCTGTCTGTGGGGTGCTGGCAGGTTTACAATGGCACCAGTGGCTCCATGGAGCCGGGCCCGTGCTCAGAAGGGGTCCCGGCCTGCTCCACTTGCACTGTATCACTAGACCCTGCCAGCCCGCTGGCTCCCCACCGTCCATCACTTGCTCTTCAGGCTGAGGGCTCCTCTCTGCCCCCTGACTCCACCCTCCTGCTTCTCTCTGCCCCCTGGCTGGACCCCAGTGCACCTCCAGCTCTGGGCAGTCTCTGCTTCCCACCATCTGTGGAGCCCTGCCTGTCTCCCTGGAGCTGAGCTGCCTGGGACTGGTGCAGAAGCCTGGCCAGT